GGAGTATAGGCATGAGCCACCATTGCCCAGCAGGCTGGACTTTAACCCATGATTCTTCTGCCTCTGACTCCTGAGCAGTTGGAATTACAAGTATGTACTACCTCCCCAGAAAGTTTTATTTAATAATTAAATGAAGGCTGGGAATATGGCTTAGTGGTAGAGTGCTTGCCTAGCAGGCATGAAGCCCTAGGTTTGATTCCTTAGTACCACTTACGCAAAAAAAGCTGGAAGTGGTGCTGTGGTTCAAGTGGTAGAGTATTAGCCTTGGGCAAAAGAAGCTCAGGGACAGTGCCTAGGCCCTGTGTTCAAGCCTCAGGACTCGCACAAAAATAACAAAAAATAGTAATAAAATGAATAAATGATTATATACTTCTAGAAGAGTCATGTCTCCTTTATAGACCAGTGATTTTTAGTGCAGTTCATCATTTTATTATTTTGAAAGTTTTAGAAATGATTCATGTTTTAAAATGTATTTATCTATTTTGCCAGTCCTGGGGCTTGAACCATAGCACCAACTGTAGCTTTTTGTGTTTTGTTTTTATTTTTATTTTATTTTTTGTCAATCATGGGGCTTGAACTCTGGGCCTGGGTGCTATCCCTGGCTTTTCAGCTCAAGGCGAGCGCTCTACCACTTGAGCCACGGTGTCACTTCCAGTTTTCTGGTGGTTTATTGGAGATAAAAGTCTCATGAACTTTCCTGCCCAGGCTGGTTTTAAACTGCAATCTTCAGATCTCAGCCTCCTGAATGGCTAGGATTATAGACATGAGCCACCAGCCTCGCTGGGCTTTTTGTGTTTATTTGGTACTGAATAGAACCCAGAGCTTCACACACAGTAGGCAAGCACTCTACCACTAAGCCATATTCCCAGTCCCCAGTGATTCATTTTAGAATAACAGGATTATAGTAAAAATGGAAAAATGGAGAGGAACATTTTCTGCTCACCATGTAAAAAATAAGAGTTAAAGATTCCTGTATTTCATCTTTCTCCCAAGAGCTAATTTGCTTTCCTGGGCTATCAATGTGGAGAAATCTAGAAGCATCAGCACCAGAATCACTTGATCTCATTTATTTGGAAGATAGGAGAAAATACACTGGACCAATTAATTCCTTTGATCTCAGTGTTGACTCTGTGTGTGTGTGTGTGTGTGTGTGTGTGTGTGTGTGTGTATGGGTGTGTGTATATGTGTAGGTGAGCCTGTGTGCCACTTCTTGAGCTTGAACTTGTTTTTACTGCTTAAGGTTGGTGCTCTACCACTTGAACCAAGCCTCCATTTCTTTTTGCTGGTTAATTAGAAGTAGGTGTCATGGACTTTTCTGCGTGAGCTGCTTTTGAATTTTGATTCTCAGATCTTAACCTCCTGAGTAGCTAGAATTATTGGTGTGAGCCACCAGTACACAATGTGCTGACTTTTTTTGTTGTTGTTGTTGATTGTGGGGCTTGAACTCTGGGCTTGGGCGCTGTCCTTGCGCTCTTCAGCTCAAGGCGAGTGCTCTACCACTTGAGCCACAGTGCCACTTGCGGTTTTCTAGTGGTTTATTGAAGATCAGAGTCTCATGGACTTTACTACCCGGGCTGGCTTTGAACCGAGATCCTCAGATCTCAGCCTCTTGAGTAGCTAGGATTACAGGTGTGAGCCACCGGCTCCTGGCAATGTGTTGACTTTTTATCAGATATAAGAGCAGACGAATTTAAAAAAAAAGAGCAGATGACTGGTGGTCACCAGACTGAAAATATCCAGGTCAGGTATGGTGGCCTATACCTGGAGGCAGAGGCAGGAGGATCTCAAGTTCAAGACCAGCCTTCACTACATAGTAAAACCTTGTCTCAAAAAAACTCAAAACAAGCCGGGTGTCAGTGGCTCATGCTTGTAATCCTAGCTACTCAGGAGGCTGAGATCTGAGGATCGAGGTTCAAAGCCAGCCTGGGCAGGAAAATCTGTGAGACTCTTATCTCCAATAAACTTAGAAAACTGGAAGTGGCGCTGTGGCTCAAGTGGGAGACTGCTCACCTTGAGTTGAAGAGCTGAGGGACAGCACTTAGTCCCAGAGTTCAAGCCCCATGACCAACAAAAACGAAACCCAAAATATTGTACTGGGAGCATGGCTCAAATGGTAGAGCAACTGTCTAGCATGAGGCCCTGAATTCAAACCCCAGTACTGCTAAAAAGACCAAAAAAAGCCAAAAGAAAAAAAAAACTAATAACACTAATAACAACCTTGAGTTGCTATTTTCAAAAATATATATATAAATATATATTTTTTTATTGTGACGTTTGTAAAAACCTAACAACGTTGAGGACCGAACTCAGGGCTTCCCATAGGCTAAGCACTTGTTATTACCACAATGATCCTATCTTGTACTTCATCTTTGAGTTTATTTTGCTTCTGGTCACTTGAGTGGTCTCTGCACTCCCATCTGACCTGCCATCAGCAGAATTCGAAGTGTTCTTGAGCAAGTAAGCTTTTAAATCAGCCATCTGGTGCCTGGTCTGCACAGGCTACGTCAGGGACTTCTCCAAGCTTTTGTCATTCAATGGCCCTAAAGGCTTTGAGTAACAGAGTCCAGGAACAGTGACTCATAATTCTGGTCAAATGATATGAGCCAGTGAATTGAAAATATTTTGATAATGGCCTAAATGGCACCTTACGTGTTTTGTGTGTTTTGTTGTTGTTGTTTGGTTTAGAGGATTTACACAACTACTTTGTATAAATTATTTAAATCAGGCTTTCAAATTAAGGAGTGGTGGGGAGGGGGATGTAGTTTAGTCAGAGCAACTTAACGCTACACAAGGCCCAGCATCTCTCTCCCACATAAATAAAAGAAATCCTAGTGAAAAGACTTGGATACAAGTCTTAACTCCAATGTGCAGAGCAGCTACAGGTAATATTGTATACGATCTATCAGAGTCCTTCAGTGGTATGACTTGTGTGTGTGTTGGTACTGGAGCTTGAACTCAGAGCCTGAGCACTGTTCTTGAGCTTGTTTGCTCAAGGTTAGTGCTCTATTTGAGCCACAGCTCCACTTCAAGATTTTACTTGGTGGATAACTGGAGGTAAGTCTGATGAACTCTCCTGCCTGGACTGGCTTTGATACACAATCCTCAGGTCTCAGTCTCCTAAGTAGTAAGGATTATGGATAGGAGCCACAAGTGCTCAGGCCACTTGTGGCTTTTTGTTGGTTAACTGTTTGGGTTTTTATTTTGGGTCCGGTTGTGGGCCTGAACTCTGAGTCTGGGTGCTGCCCCTCAGCTCTTCAGCTCAAGGCTAGCGCTCTACCACTTGAGCCACAGCACCACTTCTGGATTTTTTTTTGCTTATGGGTGCTGAGTAATCGAACCCAGGGCCTGAAGCACGCAAGGCAAGCGCTTTACCACTGAGCCAACTTCCCAGCCCTTTGTTGGTTAACTGAAAGGTAAGAATCCATCAGATTTGGGCTGGGAAGGTGGCTCAGTGGTATAGCGCTTGCCTTGCATGCCTGAGGCCCTGGGATCGATTCCTTAGCACCACATAAGCAAAAAGAAAAAAAGCCAGAAGTGGCGCTGTGGCTCAAGTGGTAGAGCACTAGTCTTGAGCTGAAGAGCTGAGGGACAGCGCCCAGGCCCAGAGTTCAGGCCCTACGACCGGACCCAAAAAAAAAAAGAATCCATCAGATTTGTCTGTCTAGGCTGACTTTAAAGCTACATCCTTGGATCTCAGTCTCCTGAGTGGTTAGAATTATAGGTGTGAGCTACCACATAGGCATCTGGCTTTGTTACTTTCTTTTTTCTTTTTGGTCCAGTCATGGGGCTTGAACTCTGGGTCTGGGCACTCAAGGCTAGCGCTCTACCACTTGAGCCACAGCGCCACTTCTGGCTTTTTTTTTCTTTTTGCTTATGTGGTGCTGAGGACTCGAACCCAGAGCCTCATGCATGCAAGGCAAGCGCTCTACCACTGAGCCACCTTCCCATCCCATTACTTTTTTTTTTTTTTTGTTGGTCGTGGGGCTTGAACTCTGGGCCTGGGCGCTGTCCCTCAGCTCTTCAGCTCAAGGCGAGCGCTCTACCACTTGAGCTACAGCGCCACTTCCGGTTTTCTGGTGGTTTATTGGAGATAGGAGTCTCATGGTCTCTCCTGCCTGGGCTGGCTTCGAACCGGGATCCTCAGATCTCAGCCTCCTGAGTAGCTAGGATTACAGGCGTGAGCCACCAGCGCCCGGCTTACTTTCTTAATTTCCTATTTTCCCCCTATATAGAAACATTTTATTGGATAGTCTACCTATAATAACTGTATGAAATATATATGTATATAAAATGTGGTCTTTTTTGTTGTTGTTTGTGGGGCTTGAACTCTGGGCCTGGGTACTGTCCCTCAGCTCTTTAGCTCAAGCTAGCACTCTATCACATAAGCCACAGCATCACTTCCAGTTTTCAGGTAGTTTATTGGGGCTAAGAGGCTCGTGGACTTTCCTGCCTGGGCTGGCTTTGAAACTCTACCCTCAGAGCTCAGCCTCCTGAATAGCTAGGGTTACAGAATGAAATTTTTTTTTTGGGGGGGGGGTCTCGTGGGGCCTGAACTCTGGGCCTGGGCGCCGTCCCTCAGCTCAAGGCTAGCGCTCTACCACTTGAGCCACAGCACTACTTTGGCTTTTTTCTTATGTAGTACTGAGGAATCGAACCCAGGGCCTCAGGCATGCAAGGCAAGCACTCTACCACTGAGCCACCTTCCCAGTCCTGCAATTAAAATTTTTTTTTTTGTTGGTCATGGGGCTTGAACTCTGGGCCTGAGCACTGTCCCTCAGCTCTTCAGCTCAAGGCTAGCACTCTAACACTTGAGCCACAGCCCCACTTCCGGCTTTTTTGTTTATGTGGTACTGAGGAATCGAACCAAGGGCCTCATGCATCTGAGGCAAGTACTCTAACTCTGAGCCACCTTCCCAGCCCCCAGACAAAATGCAATGTTTTTCACCCACATATAAGTAGTGTCTATCTCTTCATCACCCTTCAGACAGAAGACATCAGACTGTTTGATGATCGCAATTTATTATGTCAGTAGCACAGAGACCAAGTATTATTTTAACAGGAACTATGTCTACATAGAAGTAGGCGATCATCCATGCCATTTTTTTTTTTGGATCTGTGCGCGCTTTTAATCATGTTTTTGTAGTTTTTTGATCATCATCTTATGCCGTTCAATTTGCTTCTGCAGACGTTCAATCTCTTGCTTATGCTCCTCAATCTCATTTTCATGGTGTTTCCTCAAGGCATTCAATTGCTCTTTAGTCTTCTCTCTACAAAGACATGGTGGCTTGGGGTTTATTTCCAGTCCTCCATCCCTAAAAGATCTCTAAGCATACCCTGAAATAGCCAAGGCAAGTAACTGGCATCTCAATCCCATGAGTCCTGCTGGCCATCCCCTTCTATCGTCAAGTCCACCAGTGAAACAATCCCTCCTGGTTTTTCCTTTTTGTGGTATTGGAATTTGAACTTAGAACCTTGTATTTGCTAGGTAAGTGCTGTACTGTTTGGGGTGCGGTCGTGGGGCCTGAACTCTGGGCCTGGTCACTGTCCCTCAGCTCTTCAGCTCAAGGCTAGCGTTCTACCACTTGAACCACAGCGCCATTTCCGGCTTTTTTTTTTTCTTTTTGCTTATGTGGTGCTGAGGAATCGAACCCAGGGCCTCATGCATGCAAGGCAAGTGCTCTACCACTGAGCCACCTTCCCAGCCCAGTGCTGTACTATTTGAGCTATACGTCTAGTTCAGAATCCTCTATTAAAAGTATCCATCTTTTTTTTTTTTTTCTTTTAGGTGCCAGTCATGGGGCTTGAACTCAGGGATTAGGAACTGTCCCTGAACGTGTTTTGCTCAAGTCTAGAGCTTTACCACTTGAGCTACGACTCCACTTCTGCCTTTTTGGTGATTAATCTCAGTGACTTTCCTGCCTGGGGTGTCTTAACCTCGAAAACCTCAGCCTCCTGAGTAGCTAGGATTAGTGGTGTAAGCCACTGTTGCCTGGCTTTCTCTTTTCTTTTTTCACAGGCAGAGAAAGGAGATTTATTATGTGACAGACATGGGAAGACAGCACTTTATTTTTTTAATTTTTTTGGGGGGTCCGGTCGTGGGGCCTGAACTCTGGGCCTGGGCGCTGTTCCTCAGCTCTTCAGCTCAAGGCTAGTGCTCTACCACTTGAGCCACAGCGCCACTTTCTGGCTTTTTCTGCTTATGTGGTGCTGAGGAATTGAACCCAGGGACTCATGCATGCAAGGCAAGCACTCTACCACTGAGCCACCTTCCGAGCCCCCAGAGCATTTAAAAAAAACAAAACAAAACAAAAAAACTTGGTGCAGCCCTAGGGCTTAAACTCAGGACCTAGACACTGTCCCTGAGCTTTTTTGCTCAAGCACCACTTGAGCCACAGCTCTGCTTCCAGCTTTTTTGGTGATTAACTAGAGGTAAGTCTCAAGGACTTTCCTGCCCAGGCTTGTTTGGAAGTGTGACCCTCAGATCTCAGCTTCCTGAGTAGCTAAGTGTATAAATTATGAGCTCTTCTTTTCAGACTCTTCTTCAAAGTAAAGAAGCCCAGCAAAGTGTATTAGTCTCCATACTTTATCAGAGGAATACACTTAAGAAAAACAAAAACAAGCTGGCTCATGCCTGTAATCCTAGCTACTCAGGAGCTGAGATCTGAGGATCAAGGTTGAAAGTCAGCCTCATCTCCAATAAACCACCAGAAAACCAGAAATGGCGCTGTGGCTCAAGCGGTAGAGTGCTTGCTTTGAGCTGAAGAGCTGAGGGACATGAGTTCAAGTCCCATATCCAACAAAAAGCAAAAACAAAAAACAAACAAACAAACAAACAAAAACAGAGCATAAGGATAAAGAGATGTGATTAAATAACAAATATCTGTCTCCTAGTCCAATTTGCCCAGGTCTTTCTTTGGCTAGAGAAATACACAATCCACCGTGTAGACTAAAGTAGGTTCCCTTGTATGTGCAGTATCACACAGTCACAATGTGTAGGTCAGGTCAACCTTGAACTAAAGTTCTTCAGCTTCAGTCAGCTTCCCTAGTGCTGGAATTAGAGACCTGTGCCATTACCATGCTAAGCTTCTGATAATAAAGGTTCCCCCCCCCCCCCCCAGTGCTGTGGATGGCACACAGGGTCCTGTGCATGCACAGTGCTAGGCAAACATGCTATCACTAAGATACACTTGCAGCAGCACACCATGATAATTCTTTTTTTTTTGGGGTCCGGTCGTGGGGCCTGAACTCTGGGCCTGGGCGTTGTCCCTCAGCTCTTCAGCTCAAGGCTAGCACTCTACCACTTGAGCCACAGCGCCACTTCCGGATTTTTTCTTTTTGCTTATGTGGTGCTGGGGAATCGAACCCAGGGCCTCATGCATGCAAGGCAAGCACTCTACCACTGAGCCACCTCCCCAGCCCCCCCATGATAATTCTTAAGAAGACACACACGCCAAAGGTGAAGCAGAAACAAGATTAGTTTCTTGCTGCTTCCCAGAGTGGGCAGGAGTCAGTTAAAGATAATTCATGACTGAGAAAGGTTGCAAGACAGGCCTAGGCCACTCCCAGCTCCTAAACAGAAGAGAGCAATGTACAAGTCCAGGATTTGGGCTGGTTCCAGTAGGGGAAAAGTCTCCAGCACGGTGGAGTCTAACCATGAGCAGATACTAGCAGCTCCTAGGAAACACTCTCACCGGCATTTGGGAGGTCTACCGATGGTCTTCGTGTCTGAAGAGTCAGGAAATGAGTGTGAGTTTGCGAATCAAAGGCATGTGTGGGAGGAATAAGGGAATGGTCGGTGGGTAAGGGTTGGGGGGGAGGTCAGGCTCAAGATGTATACAAGTATTGGAGGGTAGCATATAGCCTCAAGGAATCTGGGGGAGTTTTTCAGGAATGGGGCGCGGGGGGGGGGGGGACTGCCACAAGCGAGGAGGCGTGGGCTGGGAGTCCTGGTGACCAACACTGAAAATAGCTTGGGTTGGGAGCGCCGGTATTGTTGAGCAAGGAAATGGGAGCATCCTGTAAGAACTATATTTGGTAATAGTCGGGTCTCAATGGTGGAGATCTAATGGGCTCAGGGCCTGTTAGTCCTGCTGGTGGGACCCGGGGGGAGGGAAGGAGGGAATCCCAAGGAACCTGGTAGGGGCTAGGGGCGGGTGGGGCGACTGAAAGCTTAAGGAGGCTTGGCTGGGCGGTCAGGGGCTGGGCAGCCGAGCTGGTGGGCCTCACCGGAAGTATCGATCCTCTTCAGCTTTCTCTCTCATACCGAAGGCCCCACCAGCATCCCGGATGGCGCCTGCGCTCCGGTCAGGACCATCCGCCTGCGAGAGAGAGAGCGGGCAGTCAGGACATTGGTAATAGTGCAGAAGGGAAGGTTTAAAAAAAGAAGCGTTCCGGGATGGGGCGAGGGATACAATGGCAGAGTACCTGGTCGGAACTGAAGCTTCGGGTTTGTACGGCCCTCCATCCCCAGACGCCGAGCCGTGCTCGAGCCACCAACGCCGAGCCAGCCATCGTGACTAGCGCAGCACCTCTCCTGGCTCTCAGCGTGGCCGCTTTTGTGTGCGCGCTCACACCCAGGATGGCTAAGCAGCCAATCTGTTCGGCGTTGGGGCTGGGATGGACGTGGGAGCGACGAATCCGGGCAGAGAGGAGGAGGGGTTTCTGCAGGCAACAGCGAATCGTGAGGGAGGCGGGGCTATTCTTAGCCAACTGCTCCCAAGGGTTTGAGTGTCAGTTGACGGTGAAATACTGATGAAGAAGGTAAGAGGAGACGAGCCTGCGTTGGAAACCGGCCTTTCCCTGCTCGCCACCCAGGAGAAAGAGGCGTGGCCACGTCCACCCTAACCTCCAAGGGACCTTGATGTTACAAACTCAAGGGACCTATACCTCAAACAAACAAAAACCTTAAAGGAGGCGACCCTTCTAGCATCTATACACTAGGAAATGAGAGTTGGGGAAACTATGTTGGTGGACATGTCCGGGATCCCCGGCCTGCAGCGGGCCCACACTTACACATATAAACTCATCTGTGAGCAGATGTCAAGGTCCTTGCGTTGCATTGACACTTTAGTCTCAAATCTCACCTTACATTCCACCTGAGACACCTTTCCTGACCTTCTCAGTCCTTCTGTCACCTACTGTTTCTCCCTCTTCTGTGCTCTCTCTGTCTCTCTCCACATTTCACCTTAAGAAGTCATCAAAGCCCGACACCGGTGGCTCACGCCTGTAATCCTAGCTACTCAGGAGGCTGAATCTGGGGATCAGGGTTCAAAGGCAGCCCTGGCAGGAAAAGTCCGTGAGACTCTTATCTCCAATAAACCATGAGAAAACTGGAAGTGGCGCTGTGGCTCAAGTGATAGAGTGCTAGCCTTGAGCTGAAGAGCTGAGGGACAGCACCCAAGCCCAGTTCAAGCCCCACGACCAACAAAACAAAACAAACCACAGAAGTTATCAAGACCTTTTTATAAGCAAGCTAATATTTGTGAGCTATAATAGTATGTTATCGGACGGACTTGGTAACAGAGCTTTTAGTCATATGGTACAATGGAATGGAAGAGATATCTAGGAGTTTAAGGAAGATCTCACTTCTTCACCCATCTAATAAATGATTTTACTTTCATGAAATCTACAGCCCTTGCCTGTGTCATTTTCTCTCTTCAGGCCCAGGGTTTTTGTTTTCCCTATAGATGGGATGGTTTAGTTATTTTACTCATTATAAAAATACCTTATCCGGCTGGGAAGGTGGCTCAGTGGTAGAGTGCTTGCCTTGCATGCATGAGGCCCTGGGTTCGATTCCTCAGCACCACATAAGCAGAAAAAGCCAGAAGTGGGGCTGAGGCTCAAGTGGTAGAACACTAGCCTTCAGCTGAGGGACAGTGCCCAGGCCCAGAGTTCAAGACCCATAACCGACCAAAAAAAAAAAAAAAAAAAAAAACTTCTCTTAGCTGGGCACCGGTGGCTCACACATGTAATCCTAGCTACTTAGGAGGGTGAGATCTGAGGATCGTGGTCCAAAGCCAGCCCGGACAGGAAAGTCCGTGAGACTCTTATCTCCAATAAACCACTAGAAAGCTGGAAGTGGCTCTGTGGGTCAAGCAGTAGAGTGCTGGCCTTGAGCTGAAGAGCACAGGGACAGTGCCCAAGCCCAGAGTTCAAGTCCCATGACCGACCAAAAAAAAAGCAAAAACAAAAAATATCTTCTCTTGCAGGGTGTCAGTGGCTCATGCCTGTAATCCTAGCTACTCAGGAGGCTGAGATCTGAGGATCTGAGGATCCAGGTTCAAAGCCCACCCGGGCAGGAAAGTCTGCAAGACTCTTATCTCCAATAAAACACCAGAAAACCATAAGTGTCACTGTGGCTCAAGTGGTAGAGCACTAGCCTTGAGCTGAAGAGCTGAGGGACAGCCCCAGGCCCAGAGTTTAAGCCCCACAACTGACAAAAAAACAAAAACTAAAAAACCTTTCTCTTGGGCTGGGAAGGTGGCTCAGTGGTAGATTCCTTGCCTTGCATATATGAGGCCCTGGGTTTGATTCCTCAGCACCACATAAGCAGAAAAAGCCCAAAATGGTGCTGTGGCTCAAGTGGTAGAGCGCTAGCCTTGAGCTGAAGAACTGAGGGACAGTGTCCAGGCCCAGAGTTCAGATACCATGAACGACCCCCCCCCCCAAAAAAAAAAAAAAACCACCTCAGTTTTCTAGAAATGAGAACTGATTTTTGTTGATCATCTTTTTGGCTAGAAAAATGCCAGCCATAGTTTGTATAACTTAGAGGAATATCTGTTGATATTCTGTTTGAATATCTGTTTGCAGGTATTGGCTATAGAAAACGTGGAAAAACACAAAAGCAGAAAGATGAATATGATAATCTCATAAAACCATTATTGAGTTACACTTTGGTGTGATTTTAGGTGATCTTTACATGTTCCCATTTAGAAACCATTTTGAATGCTCAGATACTTTGCTTGCTAATCATTCCTAGGTTGAGTATCCAGGAGAAGATAATTTCTCACTTTTTAAAGTTTTAGCAAGGAATTATTTTAGAAATGGAAAAAGAGAGATATGTCCTGTTTCCTATAAAAGAAATGGGAGTTAGACTTACAGAAATTAGCTTCCATTAATTACATACAGGGAAATTTCACTGTTACATTTCCATACATGTGTACAATAAACTCTAACTTCTTCCATCAGTCCCAATGAAAGTTCTTGCTGAAATTGTGCAAAAGCTCTATATAGGTATAAAAAATAAATAATGAAGCCGGGTGCTGGTGGCTCATGCCTGTAATCCTAGCTACTGAGGAGGCTGAGATCTGAGGATCATGGTTCAAAGCCAGCCCCGGCAGAAAAGTCTGTGAGACTCTTATCTCCAATTAACCACTAAAAACCAGAAGTAATGCTGTGGCTCAAGTGGTAGAGCTTGCTTTGTACTGAACAGCTGAGGAACAGCGCCCAAGCCCAGAGTTCAAGCCCCACAATCGACAAAAAATAAAATAAAAAAACTAAATAATGAATAAAAAAGTGAAAATGTTGGTGAGCATGTGGGGAAATTGTAGTCCTCATACATTGCTGGTGGGGATGGACCAGTTGTTGTGGGAAAAAAGCTTGGTGATTGCTCACAAAAATTAAAAATAGAATTATCATATAACTGAGTGGGGTGCCGGTGGCTCATGCCTGTAATCCTACTCAGGAGGCTGAGATCTGAGGATCATGGTTAAAAGCCAGCCCCGGCAGGAAAGTCGGAGACTCTTATCTACAATAAAACACCAGAAAACCAGAAGTGGTGCTGTGGCTCAAGTAGTAGAGTGCTAGCCTTGAGCTGAAGAGCTGAGGGACAAGCATGCAGGCCCAGAGTTCAAGCCTCATGACCAACAAAAGAGAGAGAGAGAGAAAGAGAGAGAGAGAGGAAGAGGAAGAGGAAGAGGAAGAAGAAGAAGAAGAAGAGCATTATCACAGAACTCAGCAATTCTACTTTTTTTTTTGGTCCTAGAGCTTGAACTCTGGGCTGGGCCTGGGAGCTCTCTCAGCTCTTCAGCTTAATGCTAGCACTCTACCACTTGAGCCACAGCGCCACTTCTGGTTTTCTCATGGCTTATTGAAGATAAGAGTCTCCTGGACTTTCCTGCCTGGTTGGCTTTGAACCACAATCCTTAGATCTCAGCCTCCTGAGTAGCTGGGATTACAGGCTTGAGCCACCAGCACAAGCTTTTTTTGCTCAAGGCTAGCACTCTTATCATTTGTGCCACAGCATCAATTCTGGCTTTTTCTGTGTATGTGGTACTGAGGAATTGAACCTAGGGCTTCATGCATGCTAGGCAAGCACTCTACCACTAAGCCACATTCCCAGCCCTAAAATGGGGCTATCAACATGAATACACATGTATCTGAGCGGCAGTTTTCAATGGAGAGGAGTGGTAAGTACACATAGAATAGAATTGCTGGGGCTGGGAATGTGGCTTAGTGGTAGAGTGCTTGCCTAGCATGCATGAAGCCATGGGTTCCATTCCGCAGTACCACATACACAGAAAAAGCCAGAAGTGGTACTGTTGCTCAAGTGGTAGAGTACTAGCCTTGATCAAAAGAAGCTCAGAGACTGTGCCCAGGCCCTGAGTTCAAGCCCCAGGGCTGGCAAAAATAAATAAACAAAATAACCCTATTTCACAACAGGTAATAGGTAGAAATACCCAAATGTCAATCAACTGATGAATAGAATAAACATGCTACAGTAGAATACAATGCAGCCATAAAACTGAATTAATTCTAAAATATGCTCCACTCTGGATAAACTGATACATGAAAGGAATTAAACACAAAAGGTCACATATCCAATGATTACATGTTTGTAGAATATCCAGAATAGAAAAATTCAGACACTATACATTAGCTGTTTTAGGAACTTGGGTGCCAGATCTCCTTTTGAAGTGACTATTTTGGGAGAAGAGAGAGAGCCATGCACATTTTATGTTATTTGTATTTTGTGTGTGTGTGTGTGTGTCTGTGTGTGTGTGTGTGTTTTCCGTCCTGGACGTTGAACTCATTGTTTTGCATTTGCTAGGCAAGCGTCCCCTTACTTGTTAGGCAAGTTAACGCCCAGTCCATATGGTTTAAACTAAACAACAATGACAATAACCAAGAAAACTTGCAAACGGTGTTCCCAGGGGGCTGCGGGCCCTTTAAGCTCTGCTGAACTGGGGAGGCGGGGCCGCAGAGGCGGGCTTGTTAGGGTCACGTGAGGCCGCGCATGCGCCGAGCGGTCACGTGGCGGCTAGCCGGGGAAAATGGCGGCTTCGGGGGAAAGCGGGGCTTCGGGTGGCGGCGGCGGCAGCACGGAGGAAGCATTTATGACCTTCTACAGTGAGGTGAACACACCACGAGTACTAGTGGTCCCGGGACAACCCCCCTCGGGCCTGCTTTCCCCCTGGGCGGAGGCAGTAGGCCTGCAGGCCTGGACCGTTGGTCAGGCTCCGGCAGCCCGGCCTTTGGAGCAGCGGGGGCTGACGGTCTGTGCGCCCCACCCCCTGATGGCTGCAGGGGGTCCCCACATAACAAAGAGGGGTCTGGGCAGGGTGGGGGTGGAGGGGGACCCGGAGTGCGGCCGGCGGCGTGCCCCGCGGCGTCCCCGTCCGGGGAGTCGCGGGCTGCGGGCGGCCGGGCCCCTCCTGGGGATGACGGGAGTCCAAGCCCGTTCTTCCTCTGCACCGGAGCGCTCTCCTCGGTAGTGACCTGCGTGCTCCGGACGGCTCGTGCGCCGCGCCGCGCCGCGCCGACGCTCGCCACTGAGCTTCACGACCCGCCGGCCTTACCTCACCCGCGTCGGACCCACGGTGAACCTGGAAGGCGCCGCGGGGTGAAGCCCTTTGGGGGTCTCGCAGCGAGTTACGCCCGGTGTCACGTTAGGACGGGAAGCAAGCTTGCTCTCAGCCTTGCTTGCTGCGCGTGGCTCTACACGAGATAGGCGTTGCGGGAAATGAATAAAGTAACAGTAAAGTTCTGCATTTGGAGGCAGGCCCCTCACTCCGATTGATCCTCTGGCAGAGCAGTTACTCCTGACTTGGAGGGCTCGGACACTGTCCCTGAGCTTTTGCTCAAGCTAGCACTCTACCACTTGAGCCACAGCACCACTTCTGACTTTTTCTGTGTATGTATGTGTTACTGAGGAATCCAGGGCTTCATGCATGCCAGGCAAGCACTTACCACTAAGCCACATCCCCAGCCCCTGATTGGAATTTTATGAGGATATTACTTTTTTTTTTTTTTTTTGGTCGGTCGTGGCCTGAACTCTGGGCCTGGGCACTGTCCCTTAGCTGACTTGAGCCACAGCCCCACTTCTGGTTTTCTGAGTGATTTATTGGAGATAAGAGTCTCACAGACTTTTCCTACTCCGGCTGGCTTTGAACCGCGATCCTCAGATTTCAGCCTCCTGAGTGGCTAGGATTACAGCCCCCCGGAGGGTATTCCTTTTGCAGATCATCAGTGTCCGTGTCTGTGAAAGGAGAGAGTTAGTGTACGAGTTGTTTTTTGTTTTTAATAATTAGGGCTAATTTATAAGAAAGTTTTTTTTAAAGGAAAAACAATAATGTAGCAACAGCTTCTCTCCTAGACTTAAATCGGGGCCAATGATGGGAATCTCTTTAAGTGATTATGGTTTTGAAGAATGGATGTGAGCTGTGTCCACTTGAGCTCACCAGGCTGTGAGCTACTTAGAACTAATAGAATCCTGACTTTTTCATCTTTTTTATCTGCTTGTAACAGTGCTTGCTACATGGTATTTTCATAGTATTAAATTTAAAGGGGAATAATTAGTGCATCCTATGTAGTCTACTCTTTTGCAATTATCCCTTGAAAGTGTTGGTACTCTGGTACTCAAGTTTATTGGCTTCTAATGACTCAGCAGTTATAGTTGAACTTATTTTTACTTACCTTTTTTTTGGTGTGTGTGTGTCAATACTGGGGCTTGATGTTTCACTTGGCCTTTTCACTCAAGGCTGACACTCTGCTACTTGAGCCACATCTTCACTTCTGGCTTTTTGGTGGTTAATTGAAGATGAATTTCCTGGATTTTTCTGCCCAGCTGACTTCCAACCTTGGTCCTCATATCTCAGCTCCTAGGATTGCAGGCATAAGCCACCAATGCACAGATCCATCTTTTATTTTATTTTATTTTATTGTCAGTCCTGGGGCTTGAACTCTGGGCCTGGGCACTGCCCTCAGCTCTTCAGCTCAAGGCTAGCGCTCTACCACTTGAGCTACAGCTCCACTTCTGGGTTTTCTGGTAGTTTATTGGAGATAAGAGTCTCATGGACTTTTCCTGCCTGGGCTGGCTTTGATCTGTGATCCTCAGATCTCAGCCTCCTGAGTAGCTAGGATTACAGGCCCGGCTTCCATCTTTTCATGAAAACACACACACTTTTTTTTTTTTTTGGTTGGTTGTGGGACTTGAACTCTGGGCCTGTGGGATATGCCTGAGCTCTTCAGCTCAAGGCTAGAGCTCTACCACTTCAGCTATAGTACCATTAATAGGAGATAAGAGTCTCAGGGACTTTCCTGCAGGGGCTAGCTTAGAACCAAAATCCTCAGATCTCAGTCTTCTGAGTAGCTAGGATTACTGACAGGAGCTACCGGTGCCTGGCTTCAACCTTTTTTGAATTGGGAGAAAGTTCCTAAGTAAGACTTCAGTCAGGGCTGGGACGGTGGCTCAGTTGTAGAGCGCTTGCCTTGCATGCATGAGGCCCTGGGTTTGATTCCCCAGCACCACATAAGCAAAAAGAAAAAAGCCGGAAGTGGCACTGTGGCTCAAGTGGTAGAGCGCTAGCCTTGAGCTGAAGAGCTGAGGGACAGCGCCCAGGCCCAGAGTTCAGGCCTCATGACCGGACCTCCCCCCCCCCCCAAAAAAAAAAAAAGACGTCAGTCATTACTGGACCAATGTTTATTGAGCACTTATAATGTTTTCCTGTGGGAAGTGGCGTTGTAGCTCAACTGGTAGAGCGCTCGCCTTGAGCTGAAGAGCTGAGGGACAGTGCCCAGGCCCAGAGTTCAAGCCCCAAGACTGACCAAAAAAAAAAGAAATGTACTCGTTAAGCCGGGCGCTGGTGGCTCACACCTGTAATCCTAAGAGTCTCATGGACCTTCCTACCTGGACTGGTCTTGAACTGTGATCCTCAGATCTCAGTTTCTTGAGTAGCTAGGATTACAGATGTGAGCCATTAGCACCCAGCCTGATCTGTTGATGTCTACTCGGGATAAAAATTCTAGGTTGCAATTTAGATAATGAAGACTGTGGATGTAGCTCTATGATAGAACACTTGTCTAATATGCTCAAGATCTGCAAACAAAACAAAAGGAAACAATAATGAAATTAGGTAATTGTGCACGTCAGTTAATTTCTTTCAATCTGGTAATGAGGATTGAGCCCAGAGCCTTGCACATGTTAGGCAAGTGATTTATTAGCAGTGAGCTATGTTCCCAAAGTCAGGTAATTTTTTTTTTTTTTTTTTTTTTCTAGTTGTAGAGCTTGAACTCTGGGCCTGGGTGCTGAGCTCTTCAGTTCAAGGCAAGCACTCTACCACTTGAGCCACACCACCACTTCTGTTTTTCTGGTGGTTTATTGGAGATAAGAGTCTCAGACTTGGACTTTCTTGTCTGGGCTGGCTTTTTTTTTTTTGTTGGTTGTGGGGGCTGAATTCTGGGCCTGGACTCTGTCTCTCAGCTCTTCAGCTCAAGGCTAGGGCCCTACCACTTGAGCCACAGCACCATTTCCAGCTTTTTTTCTGCTTATGTGGTGCTGAGGAATCAAACCCAGGGCCTCATGCATACGAGGCAAGCACTCTACCACTGAGCCAACTTCCCAGCCCAGGCCGGCTTTGAACTGTGATCCTCAGATCTGAGGCACCTGAGTAGCTAGGATTATAGGCATGAGCCACCAGTGTCTGGCTAGTCAATTTCTTTAGACCTAATTTTCTTATGGAGACAGTAGTAATACCTACCAGATAGGATTTTTTTTTTGGGTCTGGTTGTGGGCCTGAACTCTGGGCCTGGGCGCTGTCCCTCAGCTCTTCAGCTCAAGGCTAGTGCTCTACCACTTGAGCCACATCGCCTCTTCCGGCTTTTTTCCTTTTTGCTTATGTGGTGCTGGGGAATCTAACCCAGGGCCTCGTGCATAAAAGGCAAGTGCTCTACCACTGAGCCACCTTCCCAGCCCCGCCAGATAGGATTTTTGAGGTGAATAAATATATGTAAAGTTTTTAGATTATTAAAACTCATCAAATGGGTAACTTTAGTATTTCCCAAATATTTATATTTTTCACATGAGAGATACAAATAATTATTTGCTGAACATGTCCATTAGTAGTATTAGACATTTAGTTTATTATTCAGCTTCACCTAATGATGTTTTTAATCCTCTTAATTTTAGGTAAAACAAATAGAGAAGAGGGATTCCGTTCTAACATCTAAAAATCAGATTGAAAGGTTGACCCGGCCTGGCTCATCTTACTTCAATTTGAACCCATTTGAGGTGAGTTAGTTGTTATTATAACACCCTGATGGACACCTTTCATGTCTGCAGGGAAATTTATATTAGAACACATAACTAATGGGCATCAGTTGGAATTGAGAAAAATTGTAGACAAAAATAATGGAAGTTGGGGCTGGGAAGGTGGCTCAGTGGTAGAGTGCTTACCCTGCATTCATGAGGCCTTGGGTTTGATTCCTTAGCACCACATAAATAGAAAAATCTGGAAGTGGCGCTGTGGCTCAAGTGGTAGAGCACTATCCTTGAACTGAAAAGCTGAGGGACAGTGCCCAGGGTCAGAGTTCAGGCCCCATGACCGACAAAAAAAAAAAAAGGAATTTGTATAGTAAGCATTTGGTCTTTGAAGTTGGTTTTGTGAGCCTAGTTGGAAAGGAAGTATGAGTGTCAGTGGCTCATGCCTATAATCTTAACTATGCAGGAGGCTGAGATCTGAGGGTCATAGTTAAAAGCTAGCCTGGACAGGAAAGTCTGGGACTCGGATTTCTAACCTGCAAAAAGTTGAAAGTGGAGGTGTGGCTCAATAGAGCACCAACCTTGAGAACAAACTTAGGGAAGCCAGTTGCTGGTGGCTCACATATGAAATCTAGCTACTCAGAGGCTGAGATCTGAAGATCATGGTTCCAAGCCAGCCCAGGCAGTTAAGTCCATGATATTTTTTTTTTTGTCAGTCATGGGTCTTGAACTATGGGCCTGAGCGCTGTCCCTGAGCTCTTCAGCTCAAGGTGAGTGCTCTACCACTTGAGCTACAGGGTCACTTTTGGTTTTCTGGTGGTTTATTGGCAATAGGAGTCTCACTTTCCTGCTCGGGGCTGGCTTTGAACCTCGATCCTCAGATATCAGCCTCCTGAGTAGCTAGGATTACAGGCGTGAGCCACCCACGCCCCCAGCAAGACTTTTTTTTGTCGGTCGTGGGGCTTGAACTCTGGGCCTGGGCATTGTTTCTCAGCTCTCAGCTCAAGACAGTGTTCTACCACTTGAGCTACAGCGCCACTTCCAGATTTTTCTATTTATGTGGTGCTGAAGAATCGAACCATTGTGCCACTTCTGGTTTTCTGGTAGATAATTGGAGAGATGAGTTTTACGGACTTTCCTGTTCAGGCTGTCTTTTTTTTTTTGTTGGTCCTGGTGCTTGAACTCAGGGCCTGGGCACTGTCCCTGGCTTCTGTTGCTCAAGGCTAGCACTCTACCACTTGAGCTACAGCACTACTTCTAGCTTTTTCTGTGTATATGGTACTGAGGAATTAAATCCAGGGCTTCATGCATGCAAGGCAAGCACTCTACCACTGAGCTATCTTCCCAGCTATCAGACTGTCTTTGAAATGTGAGTCTCAGATCTCAGCCTTTGAAATGTGATTCTCAGATCTCAGCCTCCTGAGTAGGTAGGATATTTCTTACAGTTTTTATCTTGATTTTTTTCAGGTTCTTCAGATTGATCCTGAAGTAACAGATGAAGAAATAAAAAAGAGGTTTCGGCAGGTGCAGTATTGTTTCCTTGTAATAGAGTTGAACCTCTTGATAATTTGTGAAGCATATGATTTTTTTAGGACTTGGTACTTTGGGGCTACAGTCTAACCTCATATCCCAACGTAAGGCTAAGTAATTAAAACCTAATACTGACATAAAATGTCAAGTAACTTAATTACATAGCTTTCTTGTGGAGAGTGGCTTTTATATTCAATAGAATCTCTCTAGTCTTTTGATTAAAGCACCCAAAAAAAAAAACCCACACACACAAAAAAAATCTTCATTTCTTTCTGGCCCAGCCATCTCGTGTGTGTGTGTGTGTGTGTGTGTGTGTGTGTGTATTTTTTGTGTGTGCTGGGCCTGGATTTGAACTCGGGGTGTGTGTGTGTGTGTGTGTGTGTATTTTTTGTGTGTGCTGGGCCTGGGCTTGAACTCGGTGTGTGTGTGTATTTTTTTTGTGTGTGCTGGGCCTGGGCTTGAACTCGGGGTGTGTGTGTGTGTGTGTGTGTATTTTTTTTGTGTGTGTGCTGGGCCTGGGCTTGAACTCAGGGCTTAAGTTCTATACCTGAGCTTTTTGTACTCAGTGTTGGTGCTATACCACTTGAGTCATAGCTCTACTTCTGGCTTTTTGGTGGTTAATTAGATATAAGAATTTAAAAGCTGGGTACCGGTGGCTCACTCCTATAATACTAGCTACTCAGGAGACTGAGATCTGAGGATTGCAGTTTAAAGCCAGCCCCGCAGGAAAGCTGGTGAAATTCTTTTTTTTTTTTTTGTCTTTTTTGGTACTTGGGATTGAACCCAGGATATTGCACTTGCTAGGCAAGCGCTTTGCCACTGAGCTACATCCCAGCCCATGAAATTCTTATCTCCAATAAACCACCAGAAAACTGGAAATGGCTCTGTGGCTGAAGTGGTAGAATGCTAACCTTGAGCAGCTCCCAGGCCCATGACCAACAACAACAACAAAAAGAATTTCACAGATTCTTTTTTTGCATGTGCTGGCTTTGAACCATGATCCTTAGATCTCAGCCTTCTGAGTAGCTGAGATTATAGGTGTGAGGTACTGGTCCCTGTTTTTTTCTTTTTTCTTTTCTTTTTTTTTGGTCGGTTGTGGGGCTTGAACTCTGGGCCTGGACGCTGTCCCTCAGCTCTTCAGCTCAAGGCCAGCGCTCTACCGATGAGCACCATTCCCGGTTTTCTGGTGGTTTATTGAAGATAGGAGTCTCATGGTCTTTCCTGCCCAGGCTGGCTTTGAACTGTGATCCTCAGGTCTCAGCCTCCTGAGTAGCTAGGATTACAGGCTTGAGACACCTGGGCAGGCTTTCTTTTTTTTTTTTTTTTTCTTTGCCAGTCCTGGGGCTTGAACTCATGGACTGAGCACTGCCCTTGAGCCTCTTTGTGCCCAAGGCTAGCATTCTACCACTTGCGCCACAGTGCTACTTCTGGCTTTTTTTGTTTATGTGGTGCTGAGGAGTTGAACCCAGGGCCTGGTGCATGCGTGGGAAGCACTCTTACCACTCAGCCACCTTCTCAGCCTGGCTTTTTGCTGGTTAATTGGAGATAATCTTGGGGACTTTCTGCCCAAACTACCTTGAAATTATGATCTTCCAGATCTCAGCCTTCTGAGTAGCCATGATTCCAGGCAAGAGGCACTGACATTTTTCTTTCTTTTCTCTCCCTTTCTCCTTCTATTATTCTTTCTTTCTTTCTTTCTTTTTTTTGTCGGTCGTTGGGCTTAAACTCAGGGCCTAGATGCTGTGCCAGGGCTTTTCTACTCAAGGCTAGCACTCTACCACTTTGAGCCAGAGCTGCACTTCCAGTTTTTCTGGTGGTTAGTTGGCTATAAGAGTCTCATGGATGGGCTGGGAAGGTGGCTCAGTGGTAGAGCGCTTGCCTTGCATGCCAGAGGCCCTGGGTTCGATTCCTCAGCACCACATAAGCAAAAAAAAAAAAAAAAAGAGTCTCATGGAGCCTGGTGCGGGCAGATCACTCCCGTAATCCTAGCTACTCAGGAGGATGAGATCTGAGGATCAAAATTCAAAGCCAGCCAGGACAGGAACGTCTGTGAGACTCTTATCTCCAATAAACCACTCAGAAAACCAGAAGTGGCACCAAGGCTCAAGTGGTAGAGTGCTTGCCTTAAGCTGAAGTGCTGAGGGACAGCACCCAGGCCCAGAGTTCAAGCCCCCTGACTGACCAAAAAAAAAAAGAAAAAAGAAAAAAAAAGAACCTCATGGATTTCTTGCCTGGACTGATTTCAAACCATAATCCTCAAGTCTCAGTCTCCCGAGTAGCTAGGATTATGGTCGTGAGCCACCATTCCCCTGGCTTTTCTTTATTTTATCAGACAGATTTTTTTTTTTTTTTGTCAGTTGTGGGGCTTGAACTCTGGGCTTGGGCACAGTCTCTGCACTCTTCAGCTCAAGGCGGGCACTCTACTGTGTGAGCCACAGCACCACTTCTGTTTTTCTGTTGGTTTATTGGAGATAAGAGTCTCAGGGCAGGGCTGGGAAGGTGGCTCAGTGGTAGAGCACTTGCCTTGCATGCTCAAGGCCCTGGGTTCGATTCCTCAGCACCACATAACCAAAAAGAAAAAAGCCGGAAGTGGCTCAAGTGGTAGAGTGCTATCCTTGAGCTGAAGAGCTGAGGGACAGTGCCCAGGCCCAGAGTTCAGGCCCCACGACCAGACCCAAAAAAAAAAAAAAAGAGTCTCAGGGCCTTTCTTGCCCGGGCTGGCTTTGAACCATGATCCTCAGATTTCAGCCTCCTGGGTAGCTAGGATTACAGGCGTGAGCCACAGCACCTGGCTCAGACAGAATTTTATTATGTAGCCCAAGCTAGCCTCAAACTGACAACCTTCCTGCTTATGTGTCCTTTTTCCAAGTATTGGATTGCACGTGTGAGCCCATGCTGGTCTATTTGTTTTTTTATTTTTTTATTCAAGTTTCATTGTGTAGCAGGTTGGCCTTTTTTTTTTTTTTTGGTCGGTCGTGGGGCTTGAACTCTGGGCCTCGCTTGAACCACAGCACCACTTCCGGTTTTCTAGTACTTTATTGGAGATAAGAGTCTCAGGGAGCCGGGTGCTGGTGGCTCATGCCTGTAATCCTAGCTACTCAGGAGGCTGAGATCTGAGGATCGCGGTTCAAAAGCCAGCCCAGGCAGGAGAGACCTCGAGACTCCTATCTCCAATAAACCACCAGAAAACCGGAAGTGGTGCTGTAGCTCAAGTGGTAGAGCGCTCGCCTTGAGCTGAAGAGCTGAGGGACAGTGCCCAGGCCCAGAGTTCAAGCCCCACGACCGACCAAAAAAAAAAAAAAAAGAGTCTCAGGGACTGTCCTGCCTGAGTTGGCTTTGAACCAGGATCCTCAGATCTCAGCCTCCTGAGTAGCTAGGATTACAGGAGGTGTGAGCCACCCCCCCCCACCCCACCCCCCCCCCACCCCCCGCTTTTTTTTTTTTTTTTAAACCGCATAGTACCACTTCTGGTTTTTTGTTTTTTAGTTTTTTTTTTTTTTTTTTTTTTTTTTGAGATCAGAGTCTCATGGACTTTCCTGCCTGGGTTGGCTTTCTGCTTTTGGAACTCTTAATTCTCTTGCTTTAGCCTCAAGTACAGGCATTTACTACCATTCCTAGCTCTGTATTTTGTATTTTAATAGATCCTGAATTCAAACCCCAATACTACCAAAAAAAAAAATAATGTGAGAATAATATGAATACTTTTTTCAGTCATCCACATCTAAGAAACATCATTAAGGGGCTGGGAAGGTGGCTTAGTTTTAGAGTGCCTGCCTAGCTGCATGAAGCTGTGAGTTCCAATTCCTCAGTTCCATATAGACAGAAAAGCCTGAAATGCCACTGTGGCTCACGTGGTAGAGTGTTAGCCTTGAGCAAAAGAAGCTCAGGGACAGTGCCCAGGCCCTGAGTACAAGCCCCAAAGCTGGCCGAAAAAAAAAAACAAAACAAAAACATTAACAATTGATGAATCTGACTTTTTTTTTTTACTTTTTGTTTGACTTTTTTTTTTTTAATCGCAGTTATCAATCTTGGTGCATCCTGACAAAAATCAAGATGATGCTGACAGAGCACAAAAGGCTTTTGAAGGTATTTGTAAATTGACCTCCTTTTAAGGAATGTATTTTGAATGCTAGGGACTCACTGTTCCATTACCTAGATGAAGCAAAGAATGGTCATGCAGAAGATCTGAATTTCAGTATAACAGTTGGTTAAACAGAAAGAATGTTGCTGTGTAAGAAGTAGATCTGGGGGACTGGGTTGTAGCTCTATGATGGAACACTTGTCTGGCATGCATGACATCTGGATTTGATGCCCAATACTGCAAAAAAAAGAAAAAAAAAGTAGGTTTTTACGTTGTTCAATTTTTATGTGCCATAAGGTCTTTTTTTCCCTTTTAACATAAAGAAAAATTGGAAATAATAAATCTACAGGTAGTAGATTTAGTTCTGAGTGTATAATTTTTTCCATGGTTTTCAAGGTCATTGCTATTGTTGTATGTTTTTCTAAAAAAAAAAAATTAGCTTAACAAGTGTAAATAATAAAGTAGGGAATGCTTTTAAACAGGGCAAGCCTATCACGCTGCCTGAGTATAGTTCAGACTTTCAGAGGGTGTTTGCAGAAACAGTTAATTTCGATGTTTTGCATTAGCCGTGGACAAAGCTTACAAGTTGCTACTGGATCAGGAACAAAAGAAGAGGGCCCTGGATGTAATTCAGGCAGGAAAAGAATACGTGGAACACACTGTAAGTATTTATAGTACTGCCGTGTTTACAGGAAGTACCAGCAGGCCTTGGGCACCTTGTAGAAGGGTAAATGTAATAGTACCATATGCCAGTGTAACTGTGGCCTCCACCACTTAGCTGTGGTGGGCGTGACTAGTGTTTGTGTAGAGCTCAGCAGGAGGAGTGGCCAGAACACTGCTCCCTTTATCCCTGCCAGTCCTGTGTTAGGACTGAGTGCCATCGTGCTCCTCTCAGCACAGGTCACCATGAAAATGGAGCTCTGTGGTTTTCTTGGCAAACGTTTTGGAATATAAGGTTGAGAAAGATTGGAGAGGGGATATGAGTAAACCACAAAAATAAAAATTAGGGCTGGGAAAGACCCAACATTTATAGATGGTGTTTTGTTTTTTGCTCATAGGGGAATTACATAAATATCTTAAAGGGTGGGAAATGACTTTTTTGGGGAGGAAAGATTTTGTGTGTGTGTGTGTGTGTGTTGCTTTTTTTTTTGTCGGTCGTGGGGCTTGAACTCTGGGCTTGGGCATTATCCCTCAGCTCTTCAGCTCAGGGCGTGCGCTCTACTTCTTGAGCCACAGCGCCACTTCCGGTTTTCCATTTTCTAGTAGTTTATTGGAGATAAGAGTCTCACGGACTTTCTTGCCAGGGCTGGCTTTGAACTGCGATCCTCAGATCTCAGCCTTCTGAGTAGCTAGGATTACAGGCGTGAGCCACCAGCGTCTGGCTTTGTGTGTTGCTTTTTGAGACCAGGTTTTTTCTATGTGTATAGGCTAGTCTTGAATTTGTGACCCTTTTGACTTAGTCTCCTGACTGTAGGGATTACAGAAGTGTTCTAGCATAACTAGCTAGGAAGCTGTCTATTTTAGTTTTTTCACTTGTGGAGCCAAGAATCTCAAGGCCATTTATAAGAGCTGTTTTAATGGTGAGTGAATGTAGATACCACCTTTCTTTTCAAGATCTATGGAGTCTGAAATAGAAATTTATAACTAAAAATAATAGTGATGAATCAGGTTAGAAAATGAGTAAACACAGGAAGGAGAGGGCCATACTGTGTCTTGGTAGTTGTACAGAAATGGCATTTGGCACAGTCCTTGTCTGGTAGAAACAGGAAAATTCATGACAGATTTCTTAAGTTGTGGTGTTTTGCTTACAAGAATGTCATGCTTCTACATCTTGACCACAAGATGGCAGCAGAGCCTTTCTAAATTTGGAAAGTACTTGGCGCTTTGATTGTGTAATAGATTCTTCAATGGAGTAGTGTCAATCTTGTGTGAATGGTTATATTTATTTTGTAACCTCAGTAGTGGCCAACGTGATAAAAATGTCGGTTAACATGATGTTAAAATTTTTTTATTTCAGGGAGTTTCACAATGAAAATGATCAAGAATACAGTTGTAGAAATGTCCAAAAAACATTAATTATACTTACTGTCACAAAGTTTGTAGCCTCTTCTAAAACTTGATAAATATATTTTCTTTGCTATAGGGATGTAACCACAGTCGAGAAAGATAAATGAGTAATCTGTTAACTGCATCTCAGGCTGTTTGGATCTGGCTTGGGGATAAGCCCCACCACTGCTTCCTTCTCCTTCTTCCCGGGAGAGTGGGCTATAGATGAGGTTAGACGAAGGCCCAGCACCCATGCTTCCTACTTTCCCTGGGTTGCATTGCTGGGTTGTTTATTTTCCTTTGGGGGTTGGAGCGCAACAAACTTTCGTTATGCTTGTACTTACAGAAAGTGTGCATATCATGTGTGTGCAAAGTGTGAGTGCTCATCTTTTGATGAAAAAAATTCTTTTTAGGTGAAAGAGCGGAAAAAACAATTAAAGAAGGAGGGAAAACCTACAAACGTGGAGGAGGATGACCCTGAGCTGGTGAGTAAAATAAGAGAAACCACTTTTCCTTGTGTAATCTGATCTCTTTGCTTGCTGGGTCAAAGAGAGTCCTAAAGAATGAGGAGTACAGGCTGGAAACATGTAAGTGGATGCATTGCAGTCATAAATTGGCATATTGAATTGGAACCCATTTGTGTAACTACTTAAAGATAACAAAAAATACAAACAAATATATTTATCATTTTCTTTCTTTTTGTAGTACTGGGGTTTGAATTCTGCTTGCTTGTTAAGCTACCACTTGAGCCACATCTCCAGCCCTACTTTTTGCTGGTTATGTTAGAGTCCAGTAAACTCTTCTGCCTGAACTGGCCTTTGAGTTACAATCTTCAGATCTCAGCCTCTTGAATAGTTAGGATTAATTTTTTTTTTTTTTTTGTCACTTGTGGGCTTGAACTCAGGGCCTGGGCGCTGTCCTGGAGCTTTTTCACTTTGAGCCATAGCACCACTTTCGGTTTTCTGAGTCCTAGGGCTTGAATTCAGGGTTTACCCTGGGATCTGTCCCTGAGTTCCTTTTTTTTTGTTGGTCATGGGACCTGAACTCTGAGCCTGGGCGCTGTCCTTCAGCTCTTGAGCTCAAGGCAAGCACTCTTCCACTTGAGCCACAGTACCACTTCCGGTTTTCTGGTGGATTATTGGAGATAAGAGTCTCATGGAAGCCGGGCGCCAGTGACTCATGCCTGTAATCCTAGCTACTCGGAGGCTGAGATCTGAGGATGGAGGTTCAAAGCCAGCAGGGGCAGGAAAGACTATGAGACTTCTATCTCCAATAAACTACCAGAAAACCAGAAGTGGTGCTGTAGCTCAAGTGGTAGAGCGCTGGCCTTGAGCTGAAGAGCTGAGGCATAGTGCCCAGGCCCAGAGTTCAAGCCCCACGACCGACCAAAAAAAAAAAAAAAAAGAGTCTTGTGGACTTTCCTGCCCAGGCTGGCTTTGAACCGTGATCCTCAGATTTCAGCCTTCTGAGTAGCTAGGATTACAGTCATGAGCCGCTGGCACCTGGCTCGGACATCATTCTTTGCTCGGGTATCTCTGCTTTCAGTACATAGGCCCTGCTCTGCCTGAGTAGTGGATTCTTTTCTTTCTTTCTTTTTTTTTTAATTGTGAAAATACCACACAGAGGGGTTACAATTACATGAGCAAGATAATGAGTGCATTTCTTTTTTTTTTTTTAATATATTTTTATTGTGAAAATACTGTACACAGGGGTTACAATTACGTGGGTAAGATAATGAGCACATTTCTTATCAAGCATTGTACTTGTTTTCCCTTCCGGTCCCTTCGTATCCCCCCTCCCCCCCCGCCCTTCCCCCCCCTCGCCCTTCCCCCCCCCCCCCCCAAAGTTGTAAAGTTCGTTTTTCGACATAACGATTTGTACATCTCGTTGCTTGAGTACATTTTTTTTTTTTTTGTGTCTGGTCATGGGGCCTGAACTCTGGGCCTGGGCACTGTCCCTCAGCTCTTCAGCTCAAGGCTAGCGCTCTACCAGTTGAGCCACAAGCCACTTCGGGCTTTTTTTTTTTCTTACGTGGTGCTGAGGAATCGAACCCAGGGCCTCAGGCATGCAAGGCAAGGATCTACCACTGAGCCACCTTCCCAGCCCTTGAGTACATTTCTTATCAAGCATGTTGCCTCCTCCTTTGTTTCCCCTTCCCATCCCTTCCCATACTCCCTGTCCTCCCCCCCCTCCCCCCCCCGCCCCCCTGGATTATTTTCTGTACTCTCATGTATATGTAACTTCTAGGGAGGAAAAGTTCTAAAGATAAAATGAGAAGATAATCTGTATCTAGATTTTTTTTTTTTTTTGGCCAGTCATGGGGGCTGAACTCTGGGTCTGGGCGCTGTCCCTCAGCTCTTCAGCTCTAGGCTAGCGCTCTACCACTTGAGCCACAGTGCCACTTCTAGCCTTTTCTGTGTATGTGGTACTGAGGAATCAAGCCCAGGGCTTCATGCATGCTAGGCAAACACTCTGCCACTAAGACATGTTCTCAGCCCCATAATCTATATTCTTAACTTTAGAAAGAATTAAAGCTAGTGGTAGGGCTAGGGATGTAGCTCAGCTTTGTAGTGGAGCACTTACCCTAGGTTTGATGCCCAGGACTATTAAAAAAAAAAAAAAAGTAGAACCTAGCAACTAACAAGGCTCTGTTTCTTCTGTGTTGCTTGTTCCTGTTAATTAGTACATAGAATTTGAACTAAAGTCTATATAGCTGTGACTCAAATGGTGGAGATGTGTTCTCTCTCCTAGAGGAAGAAATAGAAGAAGAGAGGGAGGGAGAGAAGGAGGGAGGCTGGGAGGCTGCTGGTATGGAAGCTCTGTAGCATGTCCTGTCCAGTCCCTGTGACTTCAACAAGGACTCCTCACCGCCCCCTAGCGCCCAGTACACTAGAAGAAGGAAGAAAGAAGGGCCATGGAGCCATTTCCTCCAGGAGCATCCCAGAGTCATCTGTATCAATTTCTCCTGGGGAAACTTCAATTTCCTGGCCACACGTAGCTGCAGGATGCCTTGGAAAGTAGTGGTTGTGTCCTATAGGACTGGAGATTACCGTGGAGGGGACAGTTAGGTTTGCCACAGTGGGTACTTTGCTTAGATGAAGCTGCTAGTTGGGACTCAGCAGATAAAATGTCTTAAAACCAAGTATTTTGGCTGGGAATGTGGCTTAACAGTAGAGTGCTTGCCTAGCATGCATGAAGCCCTGGGTTCCATTCCTCAGTACCACATAAACAGAAAAGGCTGGAAGTGACGCTGTGGCTCAAGGGGTAGAGCGCTATCTTGAGCACAGAGAGGTTCAAGAACAGTGCCCAGGTTCTGAGTTCAAGATCCGGGACTGGCCAAAAATTACCCCACAAAAAAACGAAAAACAAATATTTTGAAATATTTGAAAATATTTTGTCTGTTTACAAGACTGAGATCTGAGGATTGTTGTTTGAAGCCAATCCTACAGACAAATATTTACCTCCATTTAACCAGCAAAAAGCTAGGAGTAGAGATATGGTTCAAGTTACAGAGTGCTGGTCTTGAGTGAAAAAGCCAAGCTAGAACTTCAGGCCCAGAGTTCAAGCCTCTGGACCAGCTGTGAGTGAAAAAGCCAAGCATGAATCCAGAGTTCAAGCCCTGATACTGGCATATAAACAATGAAGTGGAGATGAAAGAGAGTACTTTTTTTTTTCTTTTTCTTTTTCTTTTTTTGTGCCAGTTCTGGAGCTTGAACTCGGGCCCTGAGCACTGTATCTCAGCTCTTCAGCTCAAGTTGAATGCTCTACCACTTGAGCCACAGCGTCACTTCCAGTTTTCTGTGGTTAATTGGAGATTAGAGTCTCGTGGACTTTCCTGCCCGGGCTGGCTTTGAACTCTGATCCTCAGATCTCAGCCTCCTGAGTAGCTAGGATTACAGATGTGAGCCACTGGCATCTGGCCTGTCCCTCAACTTTTGTGCTCAAGGCTAGTGCTCTGCCACTTTGAGCCACAGTTCCATTTTTAAGCTTTTTGGGGATAGTTAATTGGAAATAAGAGTGTCATGGACTAGGTGCCAGTGGCTCATGCCTGTAAACCTAGCAATTTAGGAGGCTGAGATCTGAGGTTCACCTTTTGAAGCCAGCCTTGGCAGAAAAGTTTATGAGACTCTTATCACCAATAAACTACCCACAAAAAGCCAGAAGTGGCACTGTAGCTCAAGTGGTAGAGCATTAGCCTTGAGCACAAAGAGGCTCAGTGACAGTGCCCAGGCCCTAAGTTCAAGCCCCAGGACTAGCAAAAGAAAAAAAACAAAAAGAGTGTCATGGAATTTCTGGCTGGCTGGCTTTGAACCACAATCCTCAGTAGCCTAGGATAAAGGTATGAGCCACCAGCACCTGGCTGAATTTTTTTTTTCTTTTCACCAGAACTAGGTTCCTGCGTGCCATTTATGTGGGAGAAGCTAGAGCTAGTGAGCGAGTGGGTCATTAAGTGGTCTTTAGTGAAGAATATTTTCTTCTGCTTTTGTCTTGGGCTTTCAAGTTCAAATTCAAGTACTTAATTCAAAGTTGCATGCAAATATTTTCTTTTGTTCTTAATTTTCTTATAGTTCAAACAGGCAGTATACAAACAGACCATGAAACTCTTTGCTGAGCTGGAAATTAAAAGGAAAGAGAGAGAAGCCAAAGAGATGCACGAAAGGTACACATCTGTATATTACTCTATCTAATTACCTACTGTGGGTCTCTGGGGGTTTCCCTAATGAAGAAATTAGATGGTATGTCATGGAAGAAACTTAAGTTATCTGAAAGAGTTGAGCTTTTAAATACCTGGGTAAGAAGTTTATTTGAGTTTTGGGAAATACTAAATGTATCTGCCCTTAGGGAGTTTATTTATACTCATGAGTGCCATGTAATCTGAATTTCTGGGCCCTAACCTTTTGTGAGACTTCTACTTGCAGCTTTGGTGAATAGTATTGCATAATGAATCACTTAGAAAATATTATTGTTCCCTTGGTAGTATTTCCCTTGATCAGAGAAAATGAATCTAGTGTGTGGGTGTTGCTAAAGTCCTTGCGTACTTGCCTCAGGGCTCAAGTTCAATCCCTAGTCCCATTACAAAATAAAAGAGACAAAAGAAATACTGAGTTTAGTTTACTTCATTTCTGTATTCTGTATTATTTTTGTTGTTGTTTTGCAGCGCTTAGGTTTGAACTCAGGGCCTTGTATTTGCTTGCTCAGCTGGTACTCTACCACTTGAGACACACCTCCAACTTTGCTTTTTGCTAATTGTTTTGGAGTCTTTATCTGCTTGCTTAGGCTTTGAACCTTGATCTCAGTCTTCTGAGTAGCTATGATTTTAGGCATGAGCCACTGGTACTCAACTATATTTTGTACACTGACTGGTATTTAGCAATAAATAGATTTTCCTAGTTGAGTTAGTATGCAGCCTTCCTACTTGTACTTTGCTTTGTTGCTGAGGATACTGGTGGGTTAGTGACACTGGGTCTGGTCATCAAGTGAGATGGCATCCCATATACTTCTTTTTTGGTGCCAGTTCGTGGGGTGTGAACTCTCAGGGCCTCGTGCTATATTGCTTAGCCTTTTCATTCAAGGCTAGCACTCTACCACTTGACACACAGCTCCCCCATACTTTTTTTTTGTCGGTCATGGGGCTTGAACTCTGGGCCTGGGTGCTGTTCCTCAGCTCTTCAGCTCAAGGCGAGCGCTCTACCTCTTGAGCCACAGTGCCACTTCCAGTTTTCTAGTGGTTTATTGGAGATAAGAGTCTCACAGATTTTCCTGCCAGGGCTGGCTTTGAACTGCAATCCTCAGATCTCAGCCTCCTGAGTAGCTGGGATTACAGGCGTGAGCAACTGGTGCCCAGCTAGCTCCATACTTTTTTTTATATGCCAAGTTGGCCTTCACCTGTGATTCCCCTAAGCTTTACTTCCCAAGTAGCTGGGATTATAGGCTGAAACTACTATGCCAAATTTTATTTATTTATTTTTGTTTGTTTTTGCCAGTCCTGGGGCTTAAACTTAGGGGCGAGGCACTGTCCCTGAGTTTCTTTTGCTTAAGACTAGCACTCTACCACTTGAGCCACATTGGCACTTGCTGGCTTTTTCTGTTTATGTAGTTCTGAGGAATTGAACCCAGGGCTTCATGCATGCTAGCAGGCATTCTACCACTATGCCACATTCCCAGCCCTATTTATATTTTTTTCTGACAATATTAGGGTTTAAACTAAGGGCTACATGCTTTCTAGTAGGTGTTCTATAGCTGAGCCACACGTCAGCTCTTTTCTTCACTGGTATTTTTGAGGTAGGGTCTAACTTCCTGCCCAGGTACATGCCAGAATAACAATTTATTATTTTGTATTTTTTTGTTGGTTGTGGGGCTTGAACTCTGGGTCTGGGTGCTGTCCCTCAGCTCTTCAACTCAAGCCGAGTGCTCTACCACTTGAGCCATAGTGCCACTTCTGGTTTTCTGGTAATTAACTGAAGATAAAGAGTTTCATGGACTTTCCTGCCCAGGCTGGCTTTGAACTGTGATCCTGAGATCTCAGCCTCCTGAGTAGCTAGGTTTACAGGCGTGAGCCACTGGCTCCTGGCTTGAATTAGCAATTCTGCTTCGGTCTCCCAAGTGCTGGGATTACACGTTTGTCCCACTATGTCTTCCATTGAACTTTACATTGTTTGTTCTGTGGGAACATATCTTTATAGCTAACACAGTCTCTGTGATATAGAGATAATAAAGCTTGCTTTTTCTCCTAGGAAACGACAAAGGGAAGAGGAAATTGAAGCTCAAGAAAAAGCGAAACGAGAAAGGGAATGGCAGAAAAATTTTGAGGTAAATTGGCAAGGTGGCCAGGGATTCTTCCTCAGAACAAGAGTATTGGTGCTAGGCTTTCCCAAGGTTGGCGGGGCAGAGAGAGGAAAACAGGACTTGCAGCAGAATGGGACTATAGAGGCTGCACCTGAGCCTGCTTCCATCTTCTGTAGACTCCCTTGCCCTGGCAAGAATTTCCTGTGAGGATCCTAGACCCAAATGGTATAGGAATTTTTTTTGGGGGGGCGGGGAGGTCTGGTTGTGGGGCCTGAACTCTGGGCCTGGGTGCTGTCCCTCAGTTCTTCAGCTCAAGGCTAGCGCTCTACCACTTGAGCCACAGCACCACTTCCAGCTTTTTTCTTTTTGCTTATGTGGTGCTGAGGAATCGAACCCAGGGCCTCATGCATGCAAGGCAAGCGCTCTACCACTGAGCCACCTTCCCAGCCCTGGTATAGGAATTGTGGGGAACAACTGCACACTTGATTCAGAAGTAAACTAGTAGCAGTCTCCTTAGAGGACTTCTAGTAGAAACTGAGGCTTTTTTCTTTCTTTTCTTTTCTTTCTTTTTTAATGTGGTACTGAGGCATTAAACTTAGAGCTTTGTGTTTGCTTAGGTGGGCACTCTGGAAGTTTACTTTTTTTTCTCCCCTCGGTTGTGGGGCTTGAATTCTGGGCCTGGGCGCTGTCCCTCAGCACTTCAGCTCAAGGCTAGCGTCCTACCACTTGAGTCATAGCACCACTTCTGGTTTTCTGGTGGCTTATTGGAATAAGAGTCTCACGGAGTTTTCCTGCCTGTCCTGGCTTTGAACTGTGGTCTTCAGATCTTAGCCTCCTGAGTAGCTAGGATTACAGGCATGAGCCACCAGTGCCCAGCTCTAGCAAACTTTTCTGTCTAGGCTGGCCTTTAACCATAATCCTTCAGATTTCAGCCTCAGTGGCTGAGATTACAAGCATAAGCCACTAGTATCTAGCTCACAGCTGGCTTTGGACCATCCATCCAACTTTCCAGACACGGGAAGTGTAGTGGAAAGAGCAGCTATCCTGCTGGCTAGCTGTCTGACTGAGAAAATGATTTAATTTCTTTGAACCTCATTATTCTGTCCTTTGGAAATGCTTATTGCAGTAAACATACCCTCTAGCCAGCTTTTCATGAAAGTTAGAAATAACATAGTAGGGTTAGGGTTAGAGATGTAGCTCACTTGCCTAGTACGTAAAAGGTTCAGGAGTTGATCCCCAGTACCACAAAGCAAACAAAAGGAGTACTGTGTGCTAAACATCTAGTCTAGAGGTGTCCAGCAGATGTTGTAGTATTTCTCATTTTATTCCCTTTCAAACTGTGTTTGAGAGGTGATGTTAAACATCCCTGAAGCCGGGCGCTGGTGGCTCACGCCTGTAATCCTAGCTACTCAGGAGGCTAAGATCTGAGGATCGCAGTTCAAAGCCAGCCCAGGCAGGAGAGATCGTGAGACTCCTATCTCCAATAAACCACCAGAAAACTGGAAGTGGCGCTGTAGCTCAAGTGGTAGAGCGCTCACCTTGAGCTGAAGAGCTGAGGGACAGCGCCCAGGCCCAGAGTTCAAGCCCTACGACTGACCAAAAAAAAAAAAAAAAACCATCCCTGAGCACCTGGAGGTAGGAGAACAGCTCTGCTCTGCTCTTGGAATGTTCCAGAGCACAGAACTGGGCGGGATTTATAGAGTGGGTAGATGGCCTTTCCACTTGTTAACCAGCCTCATCTCAAACTTCTTTTGTTCTTTGTTGTCTTTCTTAGGAAAGTCGAGATGGTCGGGTGGACAGCTGGAGAAACTTCCAAGCAAATACAAAGGGGAAGAAAGAGAAGAAAAATCGGACCTTCCTGAGACCACCAAAAGTAAAAATGGAGCAGCGTGAATGACCACCGGGCCCTGCCCCCCGCCCTGGCGCTTCCTTCCTGCTTTGAAGGACTCATTCCTCCCTCTCCCTACATTAGAGTAGCATTTGCTTCTTAGTCCATTTTGTTTTCAATACAGTTTATTACCGATCAGAGTAATTCTTTTGTACATTGAAAAGAGGGCTTGGTTTTAACACCTCCCCTCCCTCCCCTCCCCCTCAGAGCACGCGGGACGGGAAGTGCCATGCCACCGCTGGCGCTGCCTTTTCCTCCACGGCCTGTAACCTAATATTTTGTACTTCACCCAATTGTGATGGCTAGAAAGTTCATGTATAGTTTCTGGAAATCATCCAATTAAACATACTGCTTACAGTGGTGTTGCCGTGACTTCAGAGCCACCTTGGGGAGTCGCTTGCTTCAGGGGTGCCATGGGACAGGAAGGGCAGGCCCTTAGTGGGCGCCAGAAGCCCTGTGGGGTCGGCATGCGCCCTTCTGTCCAACTGACCAATCAGTGTGGCACAAGGCTGCGAGCCCCTGAACCTGTTCCCTTTCCAAAGAACGAGCTGTCTTCCAGTCAGCACCATTGTGCCCTCACCTGCCTCCATTAGTGGTAATATTCTTTATGTATAATAAATTTTTATACCCAAACCGTTGGCGTATTCTCCCTGAGATGCTGTTCCACGTGCATGCTCCTTACTCAGTTGTTGAACCTTAGTTTCTTTACCTATAAAATGGGAGTCAAGTGACCGTGCAAAAGCTGGGGCACAGCTCAGTGGCAGTGCTGATCATTACCACCTCAAAGAAAGGTATTTTGGCAGTTTTTCGGGAAGGTTAGCCATGGCCGGTGTAAGATGGTTAGGGTACTGCTCTCTGGGTGTTTCCAGCATACTGTTGTGGGTAAAATGAAGACACCTGTTCCTTGTGGATTCATGTGGTGGTGCATGCTCAGAGCCCTGCTTCTGCAAGAGACAGGATTGGCCTGGGAGAGGGACATAAAGGGAGAAGTAGAAAGGGACACAGAAAAGTATGAGAAATTGGGTGACTTGGAACAACTTTGTGCCTTGTGGATGACTAAACAGGCACCGTGTTTACAGATGGCAGAAGGTCGGGAGGCATCAGTCCATCCTTTAGCTCTGATTTGCTTCTCTATGGGATGGGCTAGAAGCTTGAGTGTCTTAACTGTCTTTCCAGGAACTGCTAAGCGGATCTAACTCACTCGCATTACTGCAAAGCAGTGGGTGTGGCTTTGACTAGCACCAGATCTTGGCAGAGGAAGAAAAGTGCTCACTCACCCTCTACAGGGAGCAGCTGGGGGAGGGGGTACAGGCAGGCTTCCTGCCGTGTGTGGGGTACTTACACCCATCTTTCCTTAGAGGGTAGAAGGTGTTATCCAGTCCAGCTATCTATAGGCCCATGTCAAAACGCCAGGCCAGTAACTACAAGTGTGCTTAGTCATTGGCCAAAGCTGCTGGTTTGAAGAACACACTCAGGAGCCTCCTGCTGCCCATCTTAACAGCTGGGCATGCTGGATGACGGCAAAGATAGAGGCCGGCACCATTCACTCCTAGGAAGGGCCCTTCCTTGCTCTTGTTCTTAGCAGCTAGGGGACACAGGGCACCACTTGGAGGAAGTGGTCAGCAGCAGGCTGATTAGGATTCACAGAATGAGGAGTCCACAGGTGTCCTGAAATTGTTTTATTTTTTTTGTGTGCTGGTACTGGAGCTTGAACTTAAGCCTTCATATACTTGCTGGTCTTTTTTCACGCATGGCTGCCTCCAGTTCTGTTTTTTCCTTTGTTTCTGTGTTTCTCTTTCTCCCTATCGCTGTCTCCCTTTCTTCCTTCCTCCCTCCCTCCCTTCTTAACACCATCCCTCCCTCTCTCTGTCTTTCTGTCTTTCATCTTGCAAATTTGTCTACCCTGCCTGGGCTTTGAATCTCCATTCTCAGATCTCAGCCTCCTGACTAGCTAGGATTTATAGGCCCCACGGAGGGAAGTGTTTTGTTCCTAGAAGTCTGGAGCATGCAGTTTCAGGTATTGTTCCTGGGTTCAGTGATCTCACCAAGGAAGAGGCTCTTGCAGTTCTCTGTTGTCCTCAAGGCTCTGGTCTTCCCTGAAGGAAGGTGGTGGCCGCACCATGAGTTGTAAGAATTAAGTGAAGGAAGTCATTCAGGAAGCAGCTTGCCACTTGTCACTGCCAGAAAGTGGGTCCTAGGGATACCTCTAATAAGTTTGGCTGGGAAAGCAGCAAAGGAGAATAAGCAGGCTACGAATGAGTTTATTGGGGGCTGGGTAGTTACTGTTACCAGTGAAATCGATTTTTTTTTCTCGTTTGTTTTGGTTTTGGTTTTTGGCTTTTTTTTGGGGGGGGGGCAGGGGAGGTCAGGTTGGTCCTAGGGCTTGAACTCAGAGCCTGAGCACTGTCCCTGAGCTCTTTTGCTCAAGGCTAGCACTCTGCCACTTTGAGCCACAGCTCCACTTCTGGTTTTCTAGTGGTTAACTAGAGATAAGAACCTTGGGTGTTCCTGCCAGGGCTGACTTGGAACTATAACTCTCAGATCTCAGCCACTTGAGTGGCTAGAATTACAGGCCTGAGCCACTAGCTTTCGATTACTTCTTGTTGCTTTTCTATTTATGTGTTTGTTTTTTTTACTCTGTATGCATGGCTAGCTGATTTGAAGCTCACTGTGTAGTCTAGACTGGCCTGGAGCTCAACGATCCTCTTGCCTCTGTTTCCTGAGTGCTGAGATTACAGATGTGTACCATCATGCCCAGCTCTGAACTGAAAGTTTGTCAGCAAGGAGGAAAAGAAGAATCGGACATGGATGAAGACTGGAGGGCTCTGTTTTAGGAATGGCACGTGCGATGGCCTGGCGGTAAACACACAGCTCATTCACGGGAATGAACATGCTTTGCTGGACATAGGAATGAGAGAAGGTGAGAAAGTTAGGAAGACTAGTAAGATTAGGTTCCAGTTAGGACATCCTATTTTTATATTTTCTTTTTGGGTCCAGTCGTGGGGCCTGAACTCTGGGCTTGGGCACTGTCCCTGAGCTTCTTTTTTTTTTTGGGGGGGTCTGGTTGTGGGGCCTGAACTCTGGGCCTGGGCGCTGTCCCTCAGCTCTTCAGCTCAAGGCTAGCGCTCTACCACTTGAGCCACAGCACCACTTCCGGCTTTTTTCTTTTTGCTTATGTGGTGCTGAGGAATCAAACCCAGGGCCTCAGGCATGCAAGGCAAGTGTTCTACCACTGAGCCACCTTCCCAGCCCCATCCTATTTTTCTAAAAGGGTAAATCCTTCCATTTCCTTGTGGCAGACTCATTGGGAAATCCACAGTGGCCCCGGCCCTAGTCATAACCCTGTTTAGTGCAGGGTTTTTTTTCAGTGGTGACCTGGCCAGCAGATACGTTTAGGCACTGAATTGACCAAACATAGTCAAACCAGGCCTCGGGGCAGGGCTGTGGCAGACTGCAACTCTTTCCTGAAAGGGTTAAGGCAAGCTCTGGGTTGAAGGGATGCCAGGGCCTGGGGAGAAGGAGAGGCCCAAAGAGCCCTGCCCCCGCCCCTTGTGTGGTTTGCAGTAAGTAGTGGAGCAGGAAGCCCACTCCACTCCACACAAATCCCTTGCAGCCACCTCTGGGCCCAAGTGACTGGAAGAAGCTGGTCAGGTAAGGTGAGAATCTTGTCATTTGGGCCAGCAATGATGTCAGCTCAGAGCTAGAGCTTCCTTGTGTGGGTAGTAGGATGTGTAGCTTTAAAACAAAATATAGCCAGACATCAGTAGTTCATGCCTATGATCCTAGCTACTCAGGAGGCTGAGATCTGAGGATCAGGGTTTGAAGCTTGCCTGGGCAAGAAAGTCTATGAGGCTCTTATCTCCAATAAACCACTCAGAAAAAGCTGGAAGTGTCGCTGTGGCTCAAGTGGTAGAAAGCTAGCCTTGAGCACAAACAGGCTCAGAAAAAATGCCCAGGCTCTGGAGTTCAGGCCCCATGGCCATAAATAAATGGATAGATAGATAGATAGACTGACGTATGGATAGATAGAAAGATAGAACATTGAGGGCTGGGAAGGTGGCTCAGTGGTAGAGCGCTTGCCTTGCATGCTCAAGGCCCTGGGTTCGATTCCTCAGCACCACATAAGCAAAAAGAAAAAAGCCAGAAGTGGCGCTGTGGCTCAAGTGGTAGAGCACTAACCTTGAGCTGAAGAGCTGAGGGACAGTGCCCAGGCCCAGAGTTCAGGCCCCACAACCGAACCAATAAAAAAAAAAAAGAAAGAACATTGAGTATCGGGCTGGGAAGGTGGCTCAGTGGTAGAGTGCTTGCCTTGCAAGGCTTGAGGCCCTGGGTTCGATTCCTCAGCACCACATAAGCAAAAAAGAAAAAAGCTGGAAGTGGCACTGTAAGAGGGCTATCCTTGAGCTGCAGAGCTGAGGGACAGCGCCCAGGCCCAGGGTTCAGGCCCCACGACCGGACCCAAAAAAACAAACAAACAAACAAATAGAACACTGAGTATCAATTGATAGCTTTGGCAGGACAACACACACACATACACTCTCTCTCTCTCTCTCTCTCTCTCTCTTTCTCTCTCTTAAGTTGCCCAGGGAATGGAGAAAGAAGTGGCAAATGAGTCTGGGCTTGCTCTAGGATAGAACCTCCTAGAAGCAGGACCTGTCCTTCAGCATTCTCCACCTCTTTAGCTCATCTGCTCCCTTGCTGGGGGTCTTCAGGGCTCCCCACCATTGGAACTGAGGTCTTAGGGCTCTCCAAAGTTGCTGAGGAATGAGACTGTGCATGGTGGTGGGGGCAGGGGCATGGTGTCACCTGACAGTTATCTCTTCTCTGCATTATAGCTGTCTTTTCTTTAGTAAAAGAAGGGTAAGGAAACCTCCCATGAAGTCTAGAGATTCTGTGTATTAGCAAAAAAAACCCAAATCCCCATGGGGCTGGGGATGTGGCTCAGTGGTAGAGTGCTTGCCTTGCATGCCTGAGGCTCTGGGTTCGATTCCTCAGCATCACATAAGCAAAAAGAAAAAAGCCGGAAGTGGTGCTGTGGCTCAAGTGGTAGAGCTGAAGAGCTGAGGGACAGCGCCCAGGCCCAGAGTTCAAGCACCATGACCACCACCAACAACAACAAAAAAGAAGAGGGGCTGGGAAGGTGGCTCAGTGGTAGAGTACTTGCCTTGGGTGTATGAAGCCCTGGGTTTGATTCTTCAGCACTACATAAGCAGAAAAAGCCGGAAGTGGTACTATGGCTCAAGTGGTAGGCCCTAGGATCAACAACAACAAAAAGAAAGTCTGCCTGGTTCTTTCCCTGTGACTCCGCCCCTCCCTGCTAAGCTGGATCAGGTGTGTTTTGGTGAGGAGCTGTTGAT